AGCCCAACACAGGGCTCCAACCCATGAATCATGATTTTGTGACCTGAGCCAAAATCAAGAGTCAGACTCTTAACTGACTGAGCCACACAGGCGCCACTGACCTTACTTCTTTTCTAAATAGGTATTCCATCTACATGGTCTAAAATTCAAAAAGTATAAAGGGGAAGAGGCTGTAGTGTCTTCATCCTATTATTGTCTCTGTTTTGCTCAATCATACAAAATGAAGCAATCTACGGCATTTATACTAGTGTGGTTTAGCTTGCTGGTGCCCTTCTATTCTTACATACACACAGACGCACACATACATGCATTATGCACACACCGCTACATACCCTTCCATGAACACTGCAAACAACATGGATGACAGCCTTCTCAGCTTTTTAAAAATTTAGCCTCAGTGTCAAATTATTATCTATTGGCACACAACTTGTGCACCCTTCTTTGGCCACTTCCAAACGTTTACGAGAGGGTTTCCATGTCTCCTCTGAGTGTAAATCTCTCCCTCTGTTTCCTGCTCCCTCTCTCTCTTCTTTGTCCCGCTCCCTTGGTCTGGGTCACATGGCAAGGAGAATACAGATGATGGTAGAGGAGGGGACGGGGAGAGTTTTAAAATTCTCATTGGTATGATAGACCATTTTTACAATCTATAAAGCGGAAACAGTATGTGAGTCGTTACCACTTTTCAGAATTGGGTCCTTTTGGGGCCTAAGGGAGACGAATAATGGCAAAGTTCCTGGGAATCCTGCTAGTGCAGCTGTGTCTTCATCAAGACTGTGCATACGTTGTTATTATTGCTATTGTTATTAGTATTATTTTGGTGGGAAGGTGTCTCTTATTTTGGCAATGGGGAAAACAATATTGAATGATATTTTCCAATGACCTTGATAAACCATGGAATGGGAGACTGTTTCCAGCTAGCTTATCTTAGGGAAGTAATATTATGGGAAATAATTGTTTTGGTGGGGAAGCATATTATGGGAAAACAAAAGTTATAGAGCATTAAAGACCATAAACTCATCTCTTTGGGCTGATATCTTTCTAAACAGGAGTGAGGGTAACAATCCGAACCAGGCTCCAGCCTCTGAGGTAACAGCACAGATGCGGGGCTAAAATTCAGTAACCATGAGATCATGACCTGAGCCAGCATCAGACACTTAACTGACTAAGCCACCCAAGGGTCCCTCAAATAAGGGCTTTTTAAATGTTTTTTTTTTTTAATTTCTGAGAGAGAGAGAGAGAGAGAGCGAGCGAGCAGGAGAGGGTCAGAAAGAGAGGGAGATACAGAGTCTGAAACAGGCTCCAGGCTCTGAGCTGGGGGTCTACACAGAGCCTGACGCAGGTCTCAAACCCACGAACCTTGAGATCATGTCCTGAGCCGAGGTCGAATGCGCAACTGACTGAGCCACCCAGGAGCCCCTGGGCTTTTTAAAGGAGATAAAATTCTTGGTCCTGTTATTTCTGACCACACACACATACACACACACACACACAAAATCAATAAATCAAATAGCTATTTCTCTGTAGAAAGATCACATGACTTCCCCCCCCCCGCCCCCCAAATGATCCCTAGGATGTGGCTTTCAAGGTTAAGCAGATAAAAGATGGCTTACCGAAAGATTGCTGACTGGATTCCTAGGGATGGATGGGAAACTCTCTGCCTCCAGGCTGAAGAAGATCTATATAAATAAATGATTACAAAATGTTCAGACCTTTGTGTAATTACAGAGACCAGGATGAATTTTGTCTAGGTCAACAGTTCATTGAAGTACACAGCCCTGTTCTGATTTAGTATGAGGACCCCCTCACAGTGAGCAGAGCAGAAGTATTTGTTAAGCAGTCGTTAGAGCAGGGTTCTGGTTTGGTTCTCATCACTGCACCGAGCACATCACAGGCACATACCCTGTCTCACCTATGTGCACTTCCAGACTCACACCTGGAAGGAAGCACGGTTCCTTCTCAGCCTTCCCAGGGGTTCTGGTGCTTGAAGGAAGAGACAGTATCCCCTTTCTGCCTCTTAAGAAATGCCACAGAGCCCTGTTTATGAATCATTTTCAAAGAATTCTCTCTTCCTTTCCATACTTCTTGACTTCTCTTATAGGCTGTAAGCAGGAGAAGGGCTTAGGGTTTCTGAACAAATCCTTCACTCTTACCAAGTCTTGTTGGAGGTGTCTGACTTCTCAACTAAGGTTTTATAGAAGTTATCCATGTTGACTTCAGCCTTAGATAAAATGATGAAAAACAGGAGAGTTCATTTGTGTGTGTGTGTGTGTTCCAGTAAAACTTTATTTGGCCCATCTTAATCAAGTTTAATAGATCTTTTTAAAACATAAGTAATTATAAAAATTCTTCCTTTTTTTAAAATGTTTTATTTATTTCTAGGAGAGAGAGAGAGAGACAGCGTGAGCAGGGGAGGGTCAGAGAAAGAGGGAGTCACAGACTGAAACAGGCTCCAGGCTCTCAGCTGGCAGTCAGTACAGAGCCCGACGCGGGGCTCGAACCCACAAACCGCGAGATCATGACCTGAGCGAAAGTCGGACGCTTAACCGACTAAGCCACCCAGGCGCCCCACAATTCCTCCTTAATAACAGTTATATATGAACTCTTGGTCAAGGTCAGCAGCTCGTTCCTTTACCAAAAAAGTAAAGCCACCCTCTGTGGACAAAAGGCACATGAAGAGCAGTGTGTATTTCCTTTTCTTTAAAGAAAAAAGAGAAAGAAACCCCAAAAGTTAATATGTACATACTTTCCATTTAAAAATTAGTCAGTGTGATTAATTCTGTTTTTGAATATAAGTTTCTAAGGTGTTCCATGTTTCAATGTACAATTCCTAGTTAGCTGATAGATTTAAGGTGCTGTCGAGGTGAGGGTGAACACAGCCCAAGGCCAACCTGGGGAGTCCTCAGCTCGACCTCCTGTGAGTGTCTTTGGGGGTGCCGGGGGGAATTACAAGTGGTGGCAATGATGGAGCATTCCAGGGGATGAACAAGGCTTCCACAGAGGGTTTGCTGTGCCTGCACATCATCACCCCAGGCTCTGTGTGGGGGTTCACCCAGGAAAGCTCATTGCTTAACTAAATGTAGTTACTATCCATTTCTTTCACACAATGCAAGCAGACATTGCAGCTTATTTATGTTATTAGTGATGGTTATATTAATATTTACTTCTGTCTTTTAAATAAGGTACATGTGCCTGTACCTACTGGAACATCACTGATGTTTCATTCTTCTCTCTGCAGGATGAAGCTGCCAGTGCTCCTACTCAGCCATTTCTGGTGGTTCCCTCTTCTGTCCTCACATACTGTCCATCACATTTGTCCTGTTACGTTCATTCTGTTGTCAATATTGTTATTTATTTTTCTGTCTACACGTTGGTTTATATAGGTATTTTTAAGTTTATTCATTTATTTTGAGAGAGAGGCAGGCAGAGAGAGAGAGAGAGACAGACAGACAGACAGACAGACATAGAGAATCCTAAGCAGGCTGCATGCTGTCAGCACAGAGCCTGATGTGGGGCTCAGACTCACGAACCGTGAGATCCATGACCTTAATTGAAACCAAGAGTCAGACAACCAACTGAGCCAGCCAGGAGCCCCTAGATATGTTGGTTTATAAAATTAAGAAACAATAAATGCCATGGAACCATTATGACTATGATATTTTGTTAATTGTTAATTTGTTTCTGCAAGGCAATGTGAAGAGAACATTTCCCACTTTAAACAGGCAATGTCATAGCCAAAGAAAAATGTTCCTAGCATCATCATTTGGTTTTACTTTTTCTAAAGTCTCTAGGTTATTTAAGATAACTTCACATTTATATCACCTCTTTCTTGTACATTTTCCCCTCTGCAGTTTCTAATCACCTTTATTTTTACTTCTGTGGAAAGAACAAATACTTTCTCTGTTTTTCAATTTTCTTTAAAGTTTATTTTGAGAGAGAGAGAGAGAGAGAATGCAAAAATGTGGAAGGGGCAGAGAGAGAAGGAAAGAGAAAATCCCAAGCAATCTCCTCAATGTCAGCTTGGTGCCTGATGTGTGGCTCAAACGCAGGAACTGTGAAATCATGACTTGAGCCAAAATCAAGAGCTGGATTCTCAACCAATTGAGCCAGCCAGGTGTGCCAGAGTAATATACGTTTGCTTTCTCATTTTTTAGATTCTTTTAATTTCTTCTCTACTGAGAGGAACCTACTTTCTTTTCACTTTTTATCCCCTGTTGGCTCAAAGCTCCCAGTTTTTATTACATATCCTGCTAAAAGGGTCTTACCTTTTTGGAATTGATTTTATGGGATGTTAAGGGAGATGAATGGCATTTTTCTTTCCTTTTTTCTCTTTTTAACAACAGATAGGTAATTTTTTGGTGTGTTTTAATTGTCATGATGCTCAATTTCAACCTGTCAACAGCCCTATAAATAAAACTGAGCCTGGGTCTATCTGTCTGATTCCCTGGCCCTAAGGATTATTAGATGTTTTACATGTAATCTTTATGGACAATTCCTCAGACAACTACTCTTCTCGCCTAAGCACATTTTCTGTGAAGGCTGTTAGTTTCTCTCTTCTTATGTGTCTTCCATACCTGAGATGAAAAGTTTGGACCATGAAGGGTCACATACTCACATATTACAGAAGGAGGAAATGTCAGAACAATCACAAATCACATCATGTCCCTGTAATCATAAGGATGAGAAAATTGTGTGTCAGTGGGGATTGTGACCATGCATGGTTTCAGTTGAAAGGGAAGAATATTCCTGAGTTACTTGATGTTAGAAGTTTGTTCAGCCTTCTTCTGCAACCCTCTCTAATGGTGCCTGGAAGAGTAAAGGACATGAAAAAGCTCACTAGAAGGACTGCTTCCTCTTGGCCTCCAGAGGGCGATGTTGCACAAATTAAAATTAGAATTGAAGACCCTCTCCCTCCCCAACCATCCTTCCTTTAGCTCCTCCTTTACAGAGCTGACTGTAGAGTCACAGGGAGCTCTTTGCAGATGGTGGCATATGAGGAATTTAGAAGTCAGGAAACACCCAGATTTGTGAAGGAAGAGACTCTTGCAAGTGTCTCTGGAACATATTTAGCCAAGATTCTAGAGCACTGACTGCACACATTCTTCCTTGTTGCAAGGGTGGTATTTCCCCAGCTATACTCCTTCTTGCTCAGGGAAGATCTTCAAAAAGGATCCCACAGCTTCTTCACTCCTCAGCCATGAGCTTGGCCTCTGTCCCCATGCTTGTGTTTATGATACTTTCTGCCCCGAGTGAGTAAAATTCTATTTCATCCTCTTGTTTCCTACCAGGACGGTATTACACCTGAGCTCTGAAGAGAGACACCTCTTCTTAATCGGTAAGTCTGTCCTGGTCTCACTGACTCAAAACATTAATGTTTCAGGAGGAACCGGAGCCCAGTCAGTGACCCAGCCTGACCTCCACATTACTGTCTCTGAAGAAGCCCCTCTGGAGCTGAGGTGCAACTACTCGTCTTCATTTCAGGTGTATGTTTTCTGGTACATACAGTACCCCAACCAAGGACTGCGGCTTCTCCTGAAGTACATAGCAGGGGACACCCTGGTGAAATGTACTGGAGGTTTCGAGGCTGAGTTTAAGAATAGTGAAAAGTCCTTCCACCTGAGAAAACCTTCCGTCCATGGGAACGATGCAGCCAAGTACTTCTGTGCTGTGAGTGACACAGTGCCTGGGACCGCAGGGGGGGCTGAACACAAACTTCTGGTGAATGTAGGCTTCTAGTGACTCAAGAGATCCACCCAGGGCACTTTCAGTGAGACCTTATATTCTATGGTGACAAGATGGACAGTGGGGACTAAGTTGCTTAGCTCTTGTGTAGACATGGTTCTAATCTTCCAAGAGTCAGGATTCAAGAGGAAAGGACAATTCATGAAGAAAAATCCCCCCCACAATGACTCCATCAGTCTGAAGACTGAAACTTGCTCAGAGAATCACTTTGGATGGGACAGTGGCAGGGATGGGTTTTTTCCAGGATTGCCATGTGACTTGTGACCAGACAGGAGAGTCCCTTGACAGTCTATGCTGATGGTTGTAATCCATCAGGGGACACTCTAAGCTTTCCTTTACATGAGGAACTTTCCTTAAGATCCTAGAGAATTCCATCTGTTTGTGTGCATATTTGAAAAATTCAGTGGAAACAGGAAGGTTAACAGAGGATGCAACTGAGGAAAATGTGATGAAATAAAATCATGCAGCACAGGAAGAATATTTGGTGAATGTTTCTGTCTTTACTAATCTTCCATTTTAATATAACCTAAAAAGATGGAGTAGAGATCTCCATCAGTCCATCAATGGATCAGCTTGAGGAGGGTGGGGCTGTGCTACTATGACAGAGATGTTTACTAGAGTGGAGCGAGAGTAGGAATCTGTTAGAGCCACATGATCTGGTGGCCCCAGTAGTAAATATTTATATTTTCCTTTTTTCCTAACTTTTGTAACTAAAAAAATTTTTTTCCAGAGAGAGAGAGAAAGGGAGAGAGGCTGAGAGAGAATCCCAAGCTGGCTCCACGCTGTCAGTGCAGACTCAAATGTAGGGCTTGATTTCAAGACTGTGAGATCATCACCTGAACCAAAATCGAGAGTTGGACACTTAACCACCTGTGTCACCCTGGAGCCCCCAAATTTCCCTTTTGTAAAAAGATACCAGTTGTTTTGGATTAAATTCCATTCAAATAACCTCATTTAACTTGATTATTTCTGTAAAGACATATGTTTAAGTAAGGTCATATTCTAATTTGCTAGAGATTAAGACTCCAAGTTATATCTTTTGGCAGGGGGGACACAGCTCAACCCATAACACCACAACTATTAATGATTACTTTCATTCTAAAGACTGATACATGGGAAAACTTTTAGTGTTTCTTCCTCTAGATGCATGATGTCCAGTAATGTCCTCCCGAGCAAGATAATAGATAGCACCATAGAGATATCAAGTTACATTTGTTGATTCGAACAGTAAGATCATTTTTCTTGTGATTTCCTATGTTAAACATAGTTTGCATTTGTATAGAACATTATGGTTTAGAGAGAATCTTCTTATGCATACTTAATTGATCTTTGTAATCTCTCTCATAGAGATGAAGAGAATTATTGCTTTGCACAAAATGCACAACTAGCAGGTCCTCAGAATCACTTACAATCCCCTTTCAGGGTTTTTTCCTTTGCATAAAATATACCCCAAAGTCCATGTGACCAAGCCCAACTATCTGCTACTGTGTTTAAGAACGATTATACTTGCCCTAAGTTGCAGGGTCTGAGGCATACTGACTTTTGGGAACCATTTCTTCTGTCCAGGTATAATGACCACTTGGGGTCGCTGTTGTAATTAGTTGACTCTATTAGGCTTTATTTATGGGCTTTATTTATTTATTTAGGCTTTATTTATTTATTTATTTATGTTCTAGTCTTTAGCTTCCTCTTAAATACTCCCTTTCTTTTCCACTTGCTACTGAGGGCAAGTTGGTTATTTATTCATGACTTGTGATATCTACAATGTTACTAGAAGTCATCAGCACTCACTAACCTTATACTTGGGGAAATGGAAAAAATTGCTTACTCAGAATAAACTGGGCAATTCTGGGCCTAAAAGAGTCACCTCTCAAACATTTTCTAGTGATTTTCCAATCGCATATTATATGAGCAAAGGGCTCACACCACATTAATGTATCTAGTATGTTTTGATTATAGTAGTTGGCTGAATCCAGCAATATTATGTGTTTTTTGGATTTGTCTCTTTTCCTAAATGGTTATTATCGTTGTTGTGTTGTATGTGCGTGAGTTATTACTATTATTGAATTTATACTGGATATGTCTTAAAGGGGAGCACTTTTGCACTATTGTTGTGGAATGCAAACTGGTGCAGCTGCTCTGGAGAACAGTGTGGAGGTTCCTCAAAAAATTAAAAATAAAACTACCTTACAACCTAGCTATTGTGCTACTGGGTATTTATTCAAAAGATGCAAAAATGCTGATGCAAAGGGGTACATGTACTCTAATGTTAATAGCAACATTGTCAACAATAGCCACCATATGGAAAGAGACCCAATGTCCATTGACTAATGAATGCATAAAGATGTGATATATGAAAAAGTCAGTCAGAGAAAGACAAATACCATATGATTTCACTTATATGTGGAATTTAAGAAACAAATCAGATGAACATAGGGGAAGGGAAGGAAAAATAAGATAAAAACAGACAGGGAGGCAAACCAGTAAGAGATTCTTAGATACAGAAAAGAAATGAAGATTACTGAAGGGGTGTTGGGTGAGGGGATGGGCTAAATGGGTGATGGGCATTAAGGAGGACACTTGTTGGGAAGAACACTAGGTGTCATATGTAAGTGATGAATCTCTGGGTACTATTCCTGAAACCATTAATACACTATATCTTAACAAACTGTGATTTAAATTACAAAAACATGTATATAATTCTACATAACTACTTTCACTGATTCAGATGAGAAGGAAGGGCATGAAGAAATTGAAGCTCAGAGGAGTTAAGTTGCTCAAAGTCAAAAGGTGGCAGAGCTAGGATTTGAAATTAGGTCTGTCTGACTTTGAACTTGAAGATGTTTTCTTCTCTGTCACCTCACTCCTTCTCTGGTTAGGTGAATGATTTGGCATCAAAGGTCCAAGCCTAGCTGGTCAGTAGGGACTGGCGAGGGGTCTGCTCCTCTGTGTAATGATTGTGAAGTGAAGTCTGAGAAGCAGTTGTTAGATGTGGACTTAGTGAGGTTATAAAGGACACCAGGGTGTCAGGTGATGAAAGATGGAGGTCAGAAAAAAAAAAAAAGAAAGAAAGATGGAGGTCAGATGGGCTCATGGCTCTTTAGTAGAATAAGATTAGCATTCCCTATTCATCTGGCTACATAGGCCCAATGGGGAGGATTCCAGGCATATAGGACCAGGTCAGGGGGTCATTCTGAGCTCTATGAGTATCAGACAGACTACAATCAATGGACATCATCTGGGACTGTAGGAAAAAGAGATATGATGGGGAATAAGGAGCCTGATGGAATGTACCCTCTGATACCTTGGCTTTATTCAGACCAAATCTACAAGGGGTTCTACCTTAGGAAAGAATGACAAGGAAATCTGGGTTGCTGTGCTGTTGTTCTGGAAGCTTTTACGTTTTCTTCTTCTTCCTGAGTGTTCAGTAGAGCCTTAAGGGGAAGCTAATCTGGGGAGGTGCTGCCTGTGCTATTGGCTTATGCTGGGGACAGCCCCAGTTGACAGCTGCTGGGGACAGCCCTGGGTGACAGCTGCTAGTGTGGCTCTGGCTGTTGTTGCTGTGCCTCTTTTCTGGTTCGTGTCCCAGTCCAGGATAGACTCTGCCACAGAACCGCAACCTAGGGTCCTGGTTTAGACCTAGGATATGAGGCAGGTGACAAGAGTGACTGTCCTCTTGCTCTTGGGTGAGTTATTTTGGGATTAAAAGGAATTAGGATGTGGCTGGGACTAGATGCTGGGATCTTGCCTGCTGTCATTGCCCTTTACCCAAGATGCTGAGGATGGCTGTGGGGTTGTGTTTTTCTCTAGGTAGAGCCTTAACATTTATGCAAGGGGTGACTCAGGGCAATAAAGATGTTCTGGGCTATTGAGCCCTGGGAGACGTTACCCCTCCATGGGTGGGAGAAATTACCCCTGTTACTTTTGTACACATGTTCCTGGGGTTCTCAAAATAAATATTAAAAAATTGTCCTGAAATACAAATGGGAAGGAAATTCTAAATGTCTGCATATGGTGGGGAAGGAGGATATGGGGGTGGATTTGACTGTGAAAGAGAACTTGCCGAGTTGGACCTATGATATATCGGGTTTCAGGATAGGAGCTAGTATTGTGTTTTGACTCCTTTCACAGGTACTTTGAGCCTTGCTAAGACCACCCAGCCCATATTCATTCAGTTTTATGAAGGACAAGAAGTGAACATATCCTGTAACCACACCAACATTGCCACAAATGAGTATATCTACTGGTACCGACAGTTCTCCAATCAGGGACCACAATTCATTATTCAAGGATTTAAGGCAAACGTGACAAATGAAGTGGCATCTCTGTTCATCTCAGCGGACAGGACGTCCAGCATCCTGAGGCTGCCCACAGCTGTCCGGAGAGACACTGCTGTGTATTACTGCATTGTAGTCATGCACAGTGAGTCAGATGGGGCTGCACCTGTGCGGTATCCCCTGTGGGTGGGAGTCACAGCCCAGGGGAAGCCCCAACATAGTGCCATCTGAAATGTTTGTTTTATTTATTATTTTCAGAAAGCATTAGTAAATCCATGTATCTACTTTGTATTTAAAAACATTTGAATTTACTTATTTTTTAAAGTTTATTTTTATTTACTTTGAGAGAAAGAGAGCAAGCAGAGGAGGGACAGAGAGAGAGGGAGGGAAAAAGAGGAAACCAAGCAGGCTCTGGCTGTAAGCATGAGGCTTAAACTCACAATCTGTGAGATCATGACCTGAACTTAAGTTGGATGCTCAACTGACTGAGTCACCCAAGCATCCCAATTAATTTATATTAAAAGAGGGAGAGAGGGGGCGCCTGGGTGGCTTACTCGGTTAAGCGTCCGACTTTCGCTTAGGTCATGATCTCGCGGTTCGTGGGTTCGAGCCCCACGTCGGGCTCTGTGCTGACTGCCAGCTCTGAGCCTGGAGCCTGTTTCAGTCTGTGACTCCCTCTCTCTCTGACCCTCCCCTGCTCATGCTGTCTCTCTCTCTCTCTCTCCTAGAAATAAATAAAAATATAAAAAAAAATAAATAAATAAAAGAGGGAGAGAGAGAGAGAGAGTGAAAGAGAGGAGAGAGCACATGTGCATGCAGAGGAGGGTCAGAGAGAGAGAGGGAGAGAGAATCCAAAGCAGGCTCTGTGCTGTCTGCCCAGAGTCCAATGTGGGGTTCAATCCCATAATCCTAGGATCATGACCTGAGCTGAAATCAAGTGTGGAACACTAAATTGACTGAGCCACTCAGGTGTCTTTTCTTTCTTTTTTTGAGAGAGAGAAAGAGAGAGAGAGACAGAGTGTGAGCAGGGGCAAGGGGCAGAGGGATACAGAGAGAATCCCATGAAAGCTTCACACTGACAGTGGAGGACTTGGGGCTCAAACCCATGAACTAGGAGATCATGACCTGAGTCAAAATCAAGAGTAGGATGCTTAACAGACTGAGCCACCCAGGGTCTGAAGTCCCTATTTCTGTCTGAGTTGTCATCTCACTTTCCTTACCCTCCATTCCAACTTTCCATCTTGGAAAATGATTAGAAAAACAAAACAAAAAGATGAGGAAAGTTGGATATCTCTCTTCACTGCTTTTTCTACCCCCCTCCAGCCTGAATCCTCCACCCCCAACACATTGACACCCCTGAGAAACCTTGCACACACAGCCAGCACGGGGCCATCATTGCTGGAGTTTCTTGTGAAGAAGCAAAGTCACAGTTGAAGCATGAGTATGTTTGGTGCTCAGTGACTCTGGAGGAACGTGGTGACTGTTAACAACACAACTTCTCTGGACCCAAGACTCTACACTCTTCAGAGTAGGGGTGAAGGCACCTCAGCGACCATCCAAGGAGTCATGAAGAGACCCCGGGGAGCTCGCTGGGGCTTCTGTGGGTGCAGGTTTGCTGTGAGTGGGGTGTCCCAGACAGAGGCTGGGGAGGTTCCCAGCCCCCAGTGGTGGGGGAGCTGACCCAGAGTTCCTGGGGGTCCACACCCTCAGCGGGTGTTTCTGGGGATATTTTGTGGGTTTGAAAACTGCATCAGTGACTCCGCAGTGAGTTCATTTGTGTTTCTTTTTCCAAGCAGGGGTGAGAGGGGTGGAGGTGGAGCAGAGACCTCCAGCCCTGAGCGTCCAGGAGGGAGCCAGCTCTACCCTGAGCTGTAACTTTTCCAGCTCAGTGAACAACGTGCAGTGGTTCCGACAGAATCTTGGCGGCGGCGGCCTCACGCGGCTGTTTTTCATCGCGTCAGGGATGCAGCAGGACGGGAGGTTAGCCTGCACACTGAACACGAAGGACCGACACAGCAGCCTGCACATCAGGGCCTCCAGGCAGGAAGACGCAGCCACCTACCTGTGTGCGGCGGAGGCACAGTGCTGCCTGCCGCCCTGCAGCCTATCTCTTCCACCCAGGCTCCTCCACCAGGAAGCCTTCCTTGCTCAGCAGCATTTGCACAGTCTTATGTTTCCTTCTTCATTTTGTCAGTCTTTTAATTCTCTCTATAATTATAAACCTATAATGCTAACATGGACCTTTTAGAGATGCTCAAAACAGTGGCAAGATTCAAACTCATGCTTAAGTAAACAGTGGAAATGTCCAACTCAGAGTCAAAGCTACAGCTTCAGTGAGCAGACACTAAATAGGTTATTATGATGTGAAGGCCACACCTGTACTTGCTGCTGGTACAACTCACCTGTTAATATGGACACATAGCTCAGCTTTTAAAAAGGGTAAAAAAGCACGTGGGCTTACTGGACATGCTTGTATTTATGACTTTTAGTGCCTGGAGGTCCTGAATAACAAATATAATGTTTAGATAACATGATGTGCAATGAGCACTGTACAAACATCTTTATTACCATGTCATCTCCATAATATCTAGTGATGCAGGCACTGTGTTGTTCCCCCCCCACCCCCCCATTTTTACAACAAGGGTAAGAAGCTTAAAAAGTAAAAAGGTAAATGACTTTCAAAGGCCAAGTTACCAACTGGCTGACCCACTATTGGAAGAGAAGCAATCTGACTTCATCCCACGTTCTTTTTTTTTTTTTTTTTAATTTTTTAAGGTTTTTATTTATTTCTAGGAGGGAGAGAGATAGTATGAGCAGGAGAGGGTCAGAGAGAGAGGGAGTCACAGACTGAAACAGGCTCCAGGCTCTGAGCTGGCAGTCAGCACAGAGCCCGACGCGGGGCTCGAACCCAGAACCGCGAGATCATGACCTAAGCGAAAGTCGGACGCTTAACCGACTAAGCCACCCAGGCGCCCCACCCCACGTTCTTTTTTTAAAAAATTGTTTATTTATTTATTCTGAGAGAGAGAAAGAGAGAGAGAATGAGTGGGAGAGGGACAGAGAGAGAGATGGAGAGAGAGAGAATCCCCAACAGGCTCCACACTGTCGGTGAGGAGAGGAGCCTGATGTGGGGCTCAGTCCCACGAACCGCAAGATCATGACCTGAGCTGAAATCACGACTGGGCCGCTTAACTGACAGAGGCCCAGGAGCCCCTTTGATCCCATGTTCTTTTCTTTTTTTTGTTTGGATTCCATGTTCTCAATCCCTACATTCTTGCTACCTTTTCATAAACCTACAAATCAAATTATTTAACGTGATAAGTATGCAGAATGTTTTCATACGTGTCAATGAATAAAGAAGCATATTTTGACAATTTCTAATTAGTGACACCTAAGGTAAAGTTAGTTGTTGAGTTCCTCTATGAAGTGATGGCTCCCTTATTGGCATCAGTTCTACAAAAGCACCCACTGCTATTTCCAGCTGGTCTCAGTGACCCAGGCAGCAAAAGCCAGAAGACAAATGAGACGAGGGCCATGCCATGAGTCAACCCTGGCCCTACCAGCCACCGGAATCTGTTTTCTTCTAAGGGGGAAGTAGTCAAAATTATTTCATTTGGAGTTCACTCAAACATACATTCACTCAACAAGTATTTATTCTGTAACATGGTGTAACAAGCACTGGTGTGGAGGATGAAGATATCTGATTCCACGGTACAGACAAGCTTCCTGTACATATGGAATTTTTATTGTACAATGGGGAGACAGGACAAGGCAACAATTGGACAAATGACTTCAACATATAAGTGACATTAAGAAAATAAAATAGGGCAATTTGAAGGAGAATTGCAGTGGCCATGGAGCTTTCTGAAGTTGGTGACATTTGAACTGAACCTTCAATGATGAAAATGACAAAACACAAAGTGTTAATACCTGGGGTAGGGAAGAATTTTCAAATGCAACAATGGCCATTAGGCAGAAGGAAATTTGGTATATTTGTGAAAGAAGGCTGATGTTCCCAGAAGGCAGTGAGAAGGAGAGTGGTGGGCGATGGGTCCAAGAGGGAGTTAGGGGCCCGATCTTATATGGCCTTTTACGATTATGGTTAGGTTCACATATTATTCTATATGTAATGGGAAGCATTTGAAGGGTTTTATTTTATTAAAAAAATGTTAAACATTTATTTATTTTGAGAGAGAGAGAGAGAGAGAGAGAGAGAACAAGCCGGGGAGGAGCAGAGAAAGGCAGACACGGATTCCAAAGGAGGCTCCAGGCTCTGAGCCATCAGCACAGAGCCCAGTGTGGAACTTGAACTCATGAACCGTGAGATCATGACCTGAGCCAAAGTCAGCAACTTAACTGACTAAACCACCCAGGCATCCCTGAAGGGTTATATTATTTTTTTTAAGTAAAAAAATTTGTTTTGATGCTTACTTAATTTTGAGAGACAGAGACACAAGCAGAGTGTGAGTGAGGGAAGGCAGAGAGAAAGGGAGACACAGAATCTGAAGCAGGCTCCAGGCTCTGAGCTGTCAGCACAGAGCCCGATGCAGGGCTTGAACTCATGAGCCTCGAGATCATGACCTGAACCCAAGTCAGATGCTCAACCAACGGAGCCACCCAGGCATCCCACACCTGAAGGGTTTTAAATAGGTGTTCTAATGTATATTTCAGAAGGATCACAGTCCATATTCTGAGGAACGGCTCACGGGGAAGTGTGTGACAAGACTATGGCACAAAGAAAGGAAGAGCTTCCAAGACCTAGTGAAACCTGGTGGAAGCCAAGTTCTGGGAGGGGTCCTATAATAGTAGTCACGTTTTCTTTATGTGAAAATTTCAGAAGGAAGTTATTTTAACAGCAATTGGTTAAAACTAATTTCCCATGCTAATTACCCCTATATCAGGCCTTCACTTGTTTTAGGTGGTGTTGGAGTGGCTTCAGACATTTTTGGGAATCTGGCTAAGGTGAGATTGAGTTGAGGACACATTTAGTTTATGTTAGGTGGGATATATTTATGTGATTTGTAGTGATTTCTGTGTATAGTTAAATTTCTGCTAGTCATTCCTAGGGAAGGAATTGCTTTCAGGAATATTCCTTCTGCTTACTGTGTCCACTCTCCCAGCATTAGGAAGTGAAATGGCACAAAAGTGGCTTGGACATGCGCTATTGCCCTCAGTATTTAAGTATGTGGGTAGAAGAAGAGATTCAAGGTTTGAAATATACAGAGTTGTGT